CCAGTCTCCTTTTGAAGATCTCCAAGGTACGCGCCTGCAGTCTGTTCCAGAGTCTGGTCACACAAATGGGAAGAAGTTTTTCCTTAGACCCAGTCTGAAATTTCCTAGGAATTTAGGACCGTTGATCCCGGTTTGCCCCGGGATGCACTGGTGCATAGTTGTTCATGTAGCCCCTGATATATTTGTAAGATGCCACCAAATCCCCATAAAGTCTTCTCTTTTCTAGGCTGAACAGTCCCATATCTGTCAGCCTTTCCTCGTATGGCTTGCTCTTCAGGCCTCTAATTATGCGAATGGCTCTTCTCTGGATTCTCTCGACCTTCTCCATGTCCTTCTTGAAGTGCAGCGCCCAGAACCGGACACAGTACTCCAGCTGCAGCCTCTCCAATGCCGAGTCAAGCGGGAGAATAACTCCCTTGTTTTGCCTGAGATGCATCGGCTGATGCACGCCAGCATACTGTTTGCTCTGCTGACTGTAGCATCACACCAGTGGATCATATTAATTTTCTGGGCATGTTATGGTTCGGGGGCCCCCACTACAGCAAGGATGTGGACAAGTTGGAGAGGGCATCAAAAATGGTTCGGGGATTGGGGCACGTGACTTGTGAGAGGAAGCTGAGGGAGCCGGGGTTATTTGGTCTGGAGAAGAGAAGACGGAGAGGGGATTTGATAGGAGCCTTCAGCTCCCTGCAGGGGGGCTGCAAAGAGGATGGCGCTGGGCTGTTCTCGGTGGGGGCAGACAACAGCACAAGGAGCAGTGGGCTCAGGCTGCAGCAAGGGAAGTTGAGGTTGGAGATTAGGAAGAACTTTCTCACTAGAAAAGTGAAGCACTGGAACAGGCTTCCTGAGAGGTGGGGGACTCCCCATCCTTGGAGGTTTTTAAGCCCCCGGTTGACAAAGCCTCGGCTGGGATGATGGAGTTGGGGCTGGTCCTGCTTGGAGCAGGGGGCTGGGCTGGATGTGACCTCCTGACCCCCATTTTCCAGATCCTACTTGGGTGAGCAAAGGCTGCAGGCGGGGGCTCCTGTAACGTGCCTGGGACCCCCCGTCTGTCCCTGCGGAGAGAGGATGGGGATGCCCGGTGCGAAGCGGGGCGGCGGGAGATGGAGACCAGAAAGGAGGTTCTTGCGCAGCCCCCCTCGGGATCCTGCGGGGCAGGCGGGACCTCGCTGCGGGGGGGCGGCCGCTGCCCCGGGAGAGCCCAGCCCCGCCCTCCGCCTACCTGCCTCCCGCGCCCGCCGGATGGAACGCGGAGACAGTTTACATCCGGTTGCCGGGGCAACAGCAGAACCCGCCGCCCTCCAGTCACAAGACTCGGAATCTTGGCGCGTTCTATCCTCGGCCAATCACAGGTGGGCATTCAAATCCATCGCGGGTCGCTCTGTGTTACCGGGTGGCGGAAACGCAGCTTGAAAGTAGGACGGATGCCAGCAGGTTAGGCTTCGCTGCTGGTTAAGGTGGCGCGGGGCCGTCTTGTCTGCGCATGCGTCTTAAGGTAGCTGGGGCTGCAGGGGGTGTGAGCAGTGCTCCGTGCTGGGCCGGGGGGAGCCGGCTTGCTCCCGTGTCCGGCGTGTGGTGCACGCCCAGCATTGCAAACGCCACCTTCATCCCTCTCCAGCTCCTGGGCTGTTTAGATTTGCAATCTCATTAGTGTCCATTAAATATCTGTGCACCCCTGATTTTGCTCGGGATTTCTTGCTACTGCCATACGTATAAGCCAGTGTTCAGGATCCAAAGGGGGGCACATTTTCCGATAGCGGACTTTAGGTAGTGGCACTGCATTAACGGATGAGAAGAGTCCGTTTTCTGAAGGGAGCATTGATTGAGCACAGCAATGTGCGACTCCAAGCACGCCACAAAGAGCAACAGAAAACTTCACCTACGCGAAGACGCAGCCCAGTATGGCACAGTGACAATGTGCACAGTTTAGCCTAATCGAAAATGCAATATAATAAACCAGACAAGGTTCTTTGGGTAAATCTGATATCTTTTGTTAGACCAACTCAAATAGTTGGGAAAATTCTTCTTTGCAAGCTTTTGGGTACAAACGCCCTTCGTCAGGCTGAGGAGGCATCTGCAGTTGGTGTGTGTGCACTTCCGGGATGGAAGGAAGAGTAAAGAAGCCAGAGGCTGGCATGCCTCTGGCTTCTTTACTCTTTATTTACTGTTCTTTCCTATAATAAGCCCAAAAGACAACAGAAAGCCATGCATGAGTCTGATGTCATCCCTAGGGCAGAGCGTCTCTTTCCAGCCAGGCGCTCAGAAAGTCCTTCTGGGGAGCCGGCAGGCCTTCTCAGGCTTAGGGGTGGAGATCCCACAGGCCTCATCTCTGTCCGGGCTTTTATAGGCGAATCTGCACCTCCTCCTTTCTCTGGAGCGCCTTGACCATAGTCACGTGCCCCTCATGAATAATTGCCTCCTCATCTGGGACCTCACCTTGGCTGAAAATGGGGCCCGGGCAGTGAAAACCTGCAACGCAGTGTCTGACACGAAGAGCCATCAGATAACAACACTTCGGGGACTTTTAATTAGAAAAGCGATGATTGCCATTGCCAGCAGAAGCCTTGCCTGCTCAGCAGCACTGGAGGCTAACTCCAAAGCAGCCCCACGAAAGGAGTTTGCAATGGGAGCGGTGCTGAGGCCGGCATCTCTCGCTGGTTTTGCTGCTTGCGCAGGGGCTCAGCATCACGCAGGCCCAGGCCATCAGAGGACTGCCTGCTTTTGGGGATGGGCCCAGCACTTGCTTGGGCGCCTGCAGAGAAGCCGGTTCCTGCTCAGGACGGCACAGAGGCGGGTTCTGCTCAGTGCGAAACTGCAGCCACTAGAGGCCACCCCACAAAAAGCTGCTTCTCTTCTCCGCATCCTCGGCTCTTTGCACTTCAAACAAGCTTTGGCGGCCCAGCCAATGCGCTGCGGCAGCCACCAAGCAGCCAGTCACTGTCACCCGCCCTGTGCCCAGGCAGGTGACTGGCAGGTGCAGGCTCAAATTGCAGGGCCTCGGAAAGAGCAAAACACAGAACGCTGCAGCCGGCCCCGAGACGTAAGTTGGGCTGGAAAAAACATTACAAGCGACTGGGGTAAACCTGCGTGTCTGGGGGCAGGGAGGTGGCCGGGGTCCGTGGCGAGCCGGTGGTGAACGGGGGTGAGTTTGCAGGTGGGAGCGGGCGAACGACTGACATGACTTTGCAAGGGCTGGAGGAAGTTCATGAATTGCCTTTTTTTTCTTCCCGCTCCTCTGCGCTTGTATTGCGTGTCTTGCTTGGATTATTTTGCCACGGGATATAATTGCGCAGACCCCCCCACCTCGTCCGTGCGCTCAGAGTGGGCGGCCGCCCCGGGCAGGAAGTGACATGAAAGAACTTTCTTGGGCGGCGAGACCAGCTGCGGATGCCTCTCGCAACCGGGTTGCGATTTAATTTTTAAAAGAAACCGAAACCCTGCGCTTGCTTGAGCAGGCTGAGGCGGGCGGCTGGCTCGCATTCATTTAGACCCTGATTTTGAGGGGTGCCGAGCCCCCCGGAGAATCTGGTCCCTAACCCTGCGCCTCCTTTTCTGAGAAGGATCGCTTCGTCTTGCTCGAAGGCGCTTACAGGTGTAAGGGCTCGATCCTGCTGACACCAAAGTCAATGGGAGTGTTGTCAGGGATGAAAACAGGCGCAGGATCAGAGCAGGTGTCACTCCTGTGAAAAGAGGATCTTCCCGTCTCTAGCAAGCAGATGCACATGCGTGTGCAAGTGTGTGCAGGATGAAGGTCTTCTGGTCCTTCAGGCTCTTCTGAGAGTCCCTAATATACTTATATTTTGCGATCCAGTTACTCTTTTCCATTTCCGCTGAATCCTGCCTTGACGTTGTTAAAGCTGTTGCTTATTGAAGGCTTGTCTGTGCCGGGAGAGATGTTTTCCCTACCCCTTAGCCTCCGCTTCGGGTCGCATAAATGAAAGGCACGTTGCAAGTCTTCTCCTGCAGGCTGGCTGCCCTAGGACGGTAGAGATTAGGTGTTTGTTCTGGGTCGATCACACAAGGTCACTAAATGTTAGGGAAGGATAAAACTGGGCTTGGAGAACAGCAGGCTTTTCAGTTAGGCCTCTCGAGCAGGAAAATCTTAGTACTGAAAGTCAGCCTAGAGACAGTTCACCGTTCATACCCAGTCTGGTTTGTGTGGCTGGATAAACTGTGCCTGGTGCATTTCTAGGGGGGTGGGGTGGGGGGTCCTCTGATAAAATACTGAACCACTGAGCTTTCATCTATATGGAAATTAATTTGATCACAGGGCATCATGTATGAGCCCAGAGATTTCCTGGTATCCTTGGCCAGAATTTCAGAGCAAATGTGGTTTTTATTCATTGAGTTACCTGCTTTTTCCTTTGAAATCTCTTCTAGTGTCTAAAATGTCATCTCAGGAAGTATAAACTGCCACGAGATTGACTCACTGGAAATGAGGGTGAATCCATGCCTCGTCTGGAGTGAGGCACCCCTTTCCTGCGAGGAGTGAGGAGCCCGCTTCTGCTCAGCTGCCCAGAGGATGACCAGCCTCTGCTGACCGGCCGTT